AAAAAAATTATAATATACGTTAATTTAAATAAGCAAATAATTATATAGTTTTAAAACATTATATATATATATATATATATATATTAAAATTATTAAATTATTAAATTTTTAATGAGAAAGACTAAAATTGCACAATTATGATATTTGAGAGATTAAAATTGCTTAATTAAAAATTGTGAGACTAAAATTACACAACTGTAATCTTTTAAAATTGTGAGAGATTAAAATTGTTCAATTAAAAATTGTGAGATCAAAATTGCATAATTATAATACTTGAGCGATCAAAAACACAATTAAGTCACAAATATTATATTCTCAGTTTTGGAACGGGTCGTTCTGAAACCAGAACGGCCCGTTCTGCTGCACTGGTGGCGTGTTAATTTTTGCATCTGGAACGGCCCATTTTAGTTGCAAAATTAACACCCCAAAAGTGCAATCAGAACAGCCCGTTCTGGGTCCAGGTGTTTTCAAAAAAATTGTCATCCACGTGGCATCCACGTATGCATCTAAGTGGCATCCACGTAGCCAAAAGTTAACTCCGTTTAAATAATTTGGACGGAAGTCCCACATTGAAACCAATTAATTAATTTGAGACTAAATTAAAACCAATTAATTAGTTTGGGACCAAATTGAAACCTAAAATAAAAGTGGGACTAAATTGAAACAAACAATTAATATAAGGGACCGAAATAGGGTTTTAACCAAATACATATGGTGGTGCTCAAGGTTCCCCCAAACATGTTATTTGTGGTGGTCTTTTTATAGATAATATAGTGGAGCTTTTTTTTTGTGGATTTGTATCTAACATTGGTATTAAGGTTGCTTTGCATGCTGAGTTTATTATGTTATGTATGCTATTTGAACATATGCATAATATTGGGTGGTACAAGCTTTGGTTAGAGTGTGATTCTAAGCTTGTTATGGACGCTTTTGAAAACACCCAGATTGTTTCTTGAGACATCTGTGGTAGATGGTGACTTTGTCTCTCATTTTGTTTGCATATGATTTTTTTCATTCTCATATTTATAGGAAAATAAATCAATGTGTAGATAAATTAGTTGATTTTGGTTTAAAGCACGAGATTTTTTATAAGTGGTGGCTTATTTTACCTTTTTTTTTTGTTTTGGAGGTTTTTTTTCGTGATTGTTGTAGTTTATCTTCTTTTTCATTTTTGTTGATTCCAACATGAATTTTGGTATAGCCCCCATGTTATAGTTACTATTCTCCTCTTTATATATATATATATATATATATAGATAGATAGATGAGGGATTCGTTTATACCAAGAGTAAGTCTACCTAGACTTAGACCGTTTAATAACTTATATTATACATCAAATTTTAACGATCCAACCGTTAAATTTAAAGTTCTTAATGCATAGATCAAAAATGAAAATTTAAAAAAAAATGAAAATCATTTGATACTTCATTGCATTAATGTATAAAATAATTTGTAGTATTAAATGATTATTCGTCAATTTGAATTAATGAAATGAAGTATCAAATGATTTTCAAATTTTCTAAAAATTTGCAGACTTAATCTATGCATTAAGAACTTTAAATTCAACGGTTGGATCATTGAAATTTGATGTAGAATATGAGTTATTGAACAAAGTAAGTGTAAGTAGACTTACTCTTAGAGTAAACGGATTCCTCTTCATATATATATATATATATATATACCTATTATAAAGGGGATACAAGAGTATTATATATATATATATTAGTGTACTACAGATGATTGATAAACTTTGCGATGTCAACCTTATTGGGATGTCTTAGTTCTATAGTGATGGTTAGCATGTTAAACCTTTTAATGAAAAAAGTAAGTCTTCACATTTTTAAAGATAACAGTTTCTTAATCGAATAAATCTACTATTAAAAAAATAAAGAATGAGTATATTTAACTATAAATTTATGAGTATTTGTTTTCCCTTTTATTTGTAAAAAAAATATTATAACTTAAGTACGAGAAAATTTACTTTAAACGGGTTATTTTAAATAACTACTAGTTTGAGCTAGTTTGGAACTAACTAGTAGGGTGAGCTTAGTGATAAGAAGTTGTAGTAATATATGTAAAATTTTAGATTCAAATCCTATCATTGTGGTTATAATTCTTATTAAAAAAAAAGAGTTTTGTAACCTAAATAATACATTTCAAGTTAACTCATTGAGATCACTTAATTACAACCCAAAATTGTTCAATTTACTATTTTTTATGTATTTTTTATTTGAATAATATTTTATTTTATAGTTATATTTAAATGAATGATTTGAAGGAAAAAAGAATGTAAAATTTTCATTAAAAAATTATTTTTTTCATTTTTTTTTACATTTTTATGTTAAAAATTTTATGAGTCAACCCAACATCTCATTAATAAGTTGAGTGAATTACAACTTACATAATTCACCAATAAGTGAAGCAAATCGAGCTAATCCATTTAAAACCGTTCTCTATATATTACATGAAGTTTCTTGTTATATATTGTGATGATGTTTCATACCGAGGGTCTTTTCATTTTCAACAAAAATAATTTTTCAAAATTGAAATTTCTTGGAATATAATTCCTAGAAGAAAAAAAAATTACATAACGTGTTTAGTTATTATTTAAATTTCCTAAATAAATATTTAAAATCGATTACTACATAAAGGTTACAATTTTTTTTTTGGTGAGATAAAGGTTACAATTATGTATTGTGTTGATCTCCCAAATCTAGTTAAGGTGCAACCCATAACAAAAAAAATATGTTTTTGATTATATCTCTAGATTTCCGCTAATTTCGTATTGACTTTGGGATGATAACCCCAATTCATTTTTCTAATGAAATGGTACTCTAATCATCATTCAAGCCAAGAACTAGTGTGCACGAATACGTATACAAAACCTTTTAGCCTGCTCTGATCGAGACAAATACTAGGGCTTTAATAATTAATTTAATGTCGAGTATGTATCAATTATTTGATGATGTCCATAACGTAATTTAAAAGTGTGCAAATTGCAATTCATGGGAAGAAATTCATTGAATAGTTCATGTACCATACTATAAAATTAGTCGCCTTTGTGATCAAATTCAGCGAATATAATAGAAATCATATAGAGAATATATTACAGTTATTTAGTTCTTAAAATATCCCATTCTTTATAGTTAAACGTAATTTAGTATACAGCATATATACTTTGACATAGGAATGATCATTCTTCAAGCTCGGCACCATAAATACTGTTCAACATATATACATATAAAATAAAATTCTTCATGTCCTTTTAATTACTTGAAGTTTTAGAATATATATTTCTGATAAAGTATGACTTTCTTTAACTTGGTGTTATGATGGGTTTAGGGAGACTCGAAAATGAATTATATAAAATCAAAGTGGTTACAACTTAAAAGAATACATTAGATAGAGTTAAATATTTATATTATAAATTATAATACTTTTATTGTATTTTTCTTAGAATAATAAAATATTGACACATGAATAATAATTATTCATTAACTAACATTAATTAAAGCTATACATAAAATAAAATGATTATTTTCTTTAAGAGATTAATCTTTTTATCTCCTCTTAATTAACTCTCTTATATAGAGTTATGGTCGTCTCGTAGCTTAGTATTTGCTTCCCAGCTAACACTTTAATTCTTGTATATAAAGTAAAATTTTAATAAAAAATAATTGTGTATCAATAACATTTACCTTCTAAACTTATAGTGAAGTTTTTGTAATTTTTATGGATAAAAAATAAGAAATGCTGAGATTTGTATCGATATTCCATTGTGTATTTATGTAAGATTAAATGATTGCAAATGAAATTGTCTCTCCTTTAGAGTAAGTTTAACTTTGATATGTTGCTGAATCAATTTTGTTTTCTCATATTTTTGAACAATTTAAGCACGACCATTAAAATTATCCAAGAAGTTTACCTTTCATAATGTAAAAAAACTCATAATTAAATAAAAAAATATATTAAAATTATGCTAGCATCTCGCAATCACTGTTTGGACTCGCATGTTTTTGCCCATTGAGTGGTTTGACAAATTTTAATATTGCTTTAATGTGGGAGGGAAAGGTCATTTATAAATTTAGTGCACTTAATTTAGTTGCCATAACCCATATCGAGTTCGACATATTAATTAAGGAAAGTGAGTTTGTTGATGATAATTCACGCTGGTACATATCACCACCCAAAAAAATTTAAAGTTTTTTTTGAATAACTTTATTAAAAAAAATACTTATAAGACAGAAAAAAAAAGTTTTTTTATAAATTAAAATGAGAAATTTTTTATAAATTAACTTATGTAAAATTCAATTTTAGCTTATAGAAAAATTAATTATATTTTTTTCCTATTTTTTAAGTTTGAGTCTTAAATATACAACTACATTAAAAAACATATTTATCATAGTACGTGATTCTCCTATTAGGCTCAAACAAGTTCGCTTTCGGTAGAAAATACATATGGTTCTATAGTATATAAAATAAAATAAGAAAGAAATCAGAAACATTTATTTCAAATTATCATTTTTTTTTAAAATTGTTTAATGTTGAGAATGTTTTTATTCTACATAAGTTACTAACATATTAAATGTATAATAGAAAAAATAAAGATCTTACCTTACAATAATAATTAAATCCAAATTATTAATCCTTAGACCCACTCAAGAGACAATTCATACAAACCCCTAAAAACATTTCCTGTGCATGGGGTCTAATCATATCGCTCCGTTCTTGGAGCGATTAGCCTCTTTAATTAGGTGAGTGAAGTTATCTACACATTATATATTTGATAATAATTAATGTCACATTCACACAACATATATCACATTTCTTTCCTTCGTCTATTTATAGGCATCGTTAATTAGTAGCTTTTAACAGTCCTTTGAGTATATGCACATAACTTTGTGTGGGTGGGGACATTAATTTGCTCTACGGCGTTTGTTCTCTCATTAGGAATCAATCGCCAAAGTTTTAGGTTACACCCAACTCTTGATTTTGATTTCTGCCAACTTAACCCCAAGAAATTGAGTTTCGAAATTTCACGTAATCACAACTATATAGTCACGATGAGACACTATCCAATGGGATCACACATTTTCTTGCGTGCGCCTGCATTCATTTTCCCCCAAAAGCAAGTTTCCAAAGGTAGCAAAAGTAGTCTCTATTATTACCCGAAAGCAGAAACCATGGCCACTAAAGGGCACAAAATCTGCTTAGCCTTGTCTTCACTTTTCTTGATCATTCTTGCCATTGCCATTGTGAGTTTAATTTTGACCATATTTAAACCCAAGAACCCTGATATATTCATCCACCCTGTTGACCTAGAAAATTTTCAATTATTTTCATCTAATTCAACTAGTGCACCTTTGGGCATGGTGATCACAATAGTGAATACAAACTACGGAAGCTTCAGGTACAAAAATGCCACTGGTTATCTTAAATATCGTGGCACCATTGTAGCTGAAGTTCCCTTTGAGACAAGATCAATTCCTGCACGTAGCATTACCAATATGAGCACTTCTGCGGGTATCATGACTGCAAAATTGATCAATGATTCCAAATTTTGGTCGGATATTGAAGTTGGGGTGTTAAATTTGACATCGCAGGCCACACTGGCTGGGAAAGTGACTATGCTCAAGATTTTGAGGATTAAGGCGAAGGTGCTTATCTCTTGTGGCATCACTTTCAACATAACTGCTGTGGATGCTGCCTCCACCTGCAGGTCCAAAATCAAGATATGATCATCCATTTCATTTTATTTTTAAGTGTTCAAATGTGCTCTTGGGTTAAGGAAATGGGTTCAAATTATTATTATTGTCGGAGAAAAATTGTATGTATTGACTCGTTTGATCACAAAAAGTTATATACTCGTAAATTTGTTGATTTTAATAATAGTTATTTTAAATATTACATTAAAACTGTTTTAATTCGTTCACATTGTAATATTCTGAAATTTCAATGTAATATTATAAATTTTCTTATTATTATCTCTTTTAAAAATAATATATATAATATTTCTTTTAATTTTTAGTTATCTTATTTAAAATAAATAAATATAAATGTTTTATTTTAATACATTAAAATTTTTATAGTTTGAACAAATC